GTTTCGAATAAAACAAGTTTAAATATCCTAGCGTTAATAGTTTTCGTTTTATAAGCAAATCAAAGGGGTCCGTTACTTCTGGGACACCCTGTACATCCACTTTGGTTTTAAGGACCAATCGTAAGATCCTGTGAGGGTGAGTCAGTTGGGATCACTACATTTTAACGTCGCATGATGAGCAGTTAAACACTAAAAATTAAAAGTTCGTTCTTTTTATTATGAAAAAGTATGCGGGAGTCAAGGTGCAATAGTACACGTGAAAACCACCTTACCGGTTTAGGCACATGCAACTGGTTGTTTTTAATTTACCAAAATAAGTCTCGGCTAGACGTCGGAACAGGGCTCCCCCATACTACAGGCGGTCTTGCGTCAAATTAACACTAACTCTACTAACCTTAGTCCTCAGATTCCTAGATCAAACCTTACTATAACCCCATTCCTTGAACTTAATTCAGGACTGCCTGTCACATGTCGAGTCCATATTTCCGTGCGCTATCGAAAACACAACTTATTTCCATGTGGGCAAAAAGGCTTCTACAGAGGAATCCGACCGTCGTATTAATTGTCCCTCTAGGTAAGAATGACACATACAGTTTGCAGGTAAATTCCTCAAACACTAAAGCGGAGTCTTAGTTTTTTTGTGCCGACGCGAGAGAGGGAGAGAGAGATAGGAGAAAGGTTGGGGATTCCTAGAACAACCGCACCGAGTCGCAGGATTTAGGAATCACTCAAACTCCCCATATCTACTATTGCAGAACATTCTGGAAACTGAAGTTCTGGTCGCGGCTTGGCCGTTTCTTCCGTGATAATCTACTCAGTGGAAGAATTTCGAATGCGCGATGGGGTACTGATTTGGAAAAGTATCCCGCTTGCTTGATGGTGCGGTGCACGCTGATGGGCTTACTGATTACTCATGTGAACTTTTCGGTTGGGTTAGGTGTGGTCACGTATTCCTTTCGTCTTAGGTCGGGACTGCATTCCTCTTACGTCCTCCATAGCAGTTTTCAAAGCAGAATAGGTTTAAGTTGCTAGAAAGCTGCTCTACACAATAGCTTGATGCCTTCTGACGGAAAAACTTTCGATGCATTTACACAACATGCAGGCGGAAAAAGGCAATGATTAAATTAGCGTGGCTATTACCGTCGATTTTCTATGCCTGTATAAAATTGTCTCATTTTATAAAGAAGGAAACGTTTACATGCTCCGCCAGAATACAGGAGCAGGAGCCGAACGTAATACCGGTGACTTTGAGCTAAATTCCCGAGAACTTTGGGCTAGGATTTAAGTTTGGGGTAGGATTAGTGCTAGGGGTTGAGAAGAAGAAGACTCAATCGCTGGGACAATATGTTTGTTCGCCTGACGTTTCGATATCCTTCGCGGATTCGTCATCAGAGACATGAGTAGCAGAAACAGGTCTCTGATGACGAATCCGCGACGAATATCGAAACGTCAGGCGAATAAACATATTGACCTAGCGATCGAGTCTTCTTCTTCTTCTTCTTCTTCTTCTTCTCAATTGCTTCCTGGGACACGGATGTTCGCTTGTATTGGCAAGTGCTAGGCGTTTCGACGCGGGAATATTGACCCTTCTTGGAATTTTGCGCAAGGCCACACGCAGTATGGATTAGGGATAATTTACATACGCGTCAGATTGCTGACAGTGAGGAAATCACCGAAGCGCCGGGGATAGAATCTCCAGGATCGATTGCAACTCCTCTTCCCTCTCCCATGCACCAAGCAAATGCTCGTGCCAATCAACCAAGTGATGCTGTGAGTGGCTGACAGACAAACCATTCATCTGCGTGAGCTACGTATGAAAATTTCGGCAGGACTGATGATAGAGGCCCCAGAAATCCCGTTGACTCATAATAAAACAACTTATTTTATATGATCAGAAGCCCGACCTTCAATTTTTTCGTTTAATTCCGCCAATAGCAGGACGAATTTCCATTTTCGTTAAATTCCGCCTACATAAGGTCGAAGTTCCTTTAATTGCCATTGGTAACCTGCGCAACAGCAATTCATTTTGATCGAATTTTATTCTATTTTAGCATATAAAAACAAACATAATCTTATTTAATTTAATATTTTTGATCACTTCCGCCACAAATAGACATTAATTTAAGTTCCCTAATCAAGGATTAAATGCCCGACCACAAAGTACGTTAAGTAGTTGGGCGGGGGGATAGATATGTAGAGGGGCCCTACAAATCATTTTTGTCTAAATTTCCTCCGCTCAACGCGCCCGTTTTTCAAAACAAAGGCGGGCTGTTCGGATCCAACATGCGCGAGACTGTCATAGGGACCAACTTGAGGGGAAGCCGAAGAATACGTTTTCTACCTTAATAAAAAAAACACCTTTACCGTGCCTGTCGCGTGTCAGGTGGGGCGAAATTGTGAGTTGTCCAAGGGCTGATGACAAGGGCCATA